CTGGAGTCTATTTCATATTTCTATACTTGTTTAAACAATACCACATAAAATATTTAAACTTATGAGTACATTCGGGGTCCATCATTTTCTTTACCCATTTTAAACGAAATGCAGCCTTTTTCGTACCAATATCAACCAGGTTCAACCCTCCGTGACTTACTGGCCTAGTTAGAACGTCATATTTAATAAGGTGCTTTTTACCGCTCCAGAAAACGTTTGCAATATTTGTTTTCAGTTTGTTTACATACACATCAGGAATACTTAACACAGAGAGAGTGTACCATAAAGTTGATGATACTAGGCTATTAATAATTAAGATTTTACCACTATATGTCAGTTTTCGGTGGGACCACTGTTTCATAATTTTGGTAACACTTGTTAAGTTCTTTTTCCCAATTGTCTTCCAAGTAATTACAGTTTTCATTTCCAACAGTAATCCCTAGCAAGTTAATCTTATTTACAGTGTTTTATGGGGAAAGGATTGTCAGTGCGCCCTCGCATTGTTCCGAGCCATAACAATTGCGTTTTATCATAGTTTAATTTTGCACCTGATGCGCCCTCATAGTCACTTAGAATTTAGAAAGACCTGTGCGCTGATTTGTCATCCCGGAGACTAAGCGTTGTGCCATCAGCATGTTGGTAAACAAGAGAAATATCTCGGCAGCCAGGCATACCAATGCCTGTGATTCCAGAGTTAGCTTTGATAGCAGCATTAAGGGGTTCGGCGGACAATACATACAAAATTGCAGAAATTGGGCACCCTTGTCTTATGCCGCGAGTTACAGTGAATGGTTTTGACAGGTAGCCATTACACTTAATGCTGCTATTCGCGCCATTGTATAATACCTTTATCCAATTCATGAAATCGTGTCCGAAATTAAAGGTCTTCAAGGTACTCATTAAGTATTGGTGATCGACTCGATCAAATGCTTTCATTTGATCGAGTTTAAAAAAAAAATACCTGACTGGTACGTTTCATTGACGTAGTCGATGAGATGGCTCATGCAAACAACATTGTCAACAATATCGCGACCGGGTATGCAGCAAGTCTGATCAGTGGATATAATGGTTCCAATAACGCTACGAAGGCGATTTGCCAGTGTTTTGGACAGAATTGTATAATCCATGTTCAAAAGGCTAATAGGTCTCCAGTTTTTCCACATACGTTTATCACAGTTTGATTTCGGTATGAGCGTAATAAAGGCCCGCTGCATACTACATGAGAGGGAACCAGTTTCAAGTGCCAAATTATAACAGTCTAGCAGGTCATGCGAAACATCGTCCCAAAACCGTTTATACCAAGCAGCGGTGAGCCCATCACATCCGGGACTTTTATCATTTGTCATGTTTTGGAGTGCACAATGAAGCTCATCAATTGTCAATTGACTTTCGCAATTATTTTTGTCATCGTCATCAAGTCTAGCATTTACAAATTTTAGGAAGTTATCAATATTTGTTTGATCGTGATATTCTTTCTTATACAAGTCGGAGTAAAACAAAACGCCGTCAGCAAGTATATCATCGCTTGTATTTATCGTACTTCCGTCATCTCTTATTATATTCGTAATTAATTTTGAGTTTTGATGAGATTTTTCTAGATTAAAAAAATATTTTGAGCTAGTTTCGCCTTCTTCAAAATTTTTAATTTTACTTCTTATAATTGCACCATTGATCTCACTTTTAGTAATTGATTCAAGTTCTTTCTCGAGTTCAAATACTTTAGTTAAATTATAATCGACATATTTCGCTGCTTTGTGGTATTCATGGGCGATACGTTTTCCAATGATTTTTTTTATTTTATCAGGGTTTTCTTTTTCTTAATACTGTAGCTTATGGAAAAAAGCCGAATTTGCTCTTTTAGAGCATCCCACCAGACAAGTTTATTTTCAGAGTATGCACTTGCGGTTTTGGACATTTCTATTATTTCTTGGATTTTATTGGTGTATTCTTCATCTTGTAATAATTCGTTGTTAAACTTCCATATTCCCGGGCCTCTATTGACCCTATCAAATGTTATATTATACTTTAGTAGATCATGGTCACTAAATGGATATTTTACAATTTCTGATGATACACAGTAATGTATGTGAGAGGATTGCATTAACAGGTAATCAATACGGCTCTGTCGTAAAACATTGTTTACGTTATCATATCTACGCCAAGTGAACTGTTTAGCGTGTTTATGTTGTCGTCGCCAAACATCAATGAGGGAATTTTGGTTCATTAAATTTAAAAGATTGGCACGTGATCTGTCGCCCGCTGTTGCAATACCTCCACTGTCCATTTCAAAGTTCTGTTTACAATTAAAATCGCCTATCACCAGATTAGCGCAATCGGGTAAAAGATATTGCCCCAGGCCATCGAAAAAATCACACCTGTCCTTAACTACAGTGGGAGCGTACACATTGATTATATTAACTTGTTGGTCATCAATGTCACATGTGAGCTGAACGATTCTTCCATTATTACAACAAGTTGTATTTATGACCTCAATTCCCGATTTTTTCCTAACAAGACAACAAACACCTCGCCTTGAAGCTGTATCTGACGACAGACAAAACAATATTTCAAAGTCATTTTCTAATTTTTTTGTGATATCGTTTACATTACAATTTGACCAAAATATTTCTTGTAAACAAATTATGTCATAATGATTTGCTTTAAACAAATTAATTGTTTGCAATATCTTTTCACTATTTACAAAACCGTTGACATTAAGTGATACTAAAATCACCATAAATAACGATATACTCACAAACATTGTTCTTATTGTTTACATTTGTTACTCTGTCCGCCTTCATTTTCCGCCTTTTTATCACCTTTTTTTGGAGTAAACGCTTGTCTTACTGCAGTGTTCTTTAAGTTGGGCTTCCGTGGTTGTTTCTTTCGCTGTCGAGATTCGCTTCCTCGCTTGAAAGATACCGTTTCTGTCTGTTGCCGGATTCATTGGTGGAAGCGCGATCAAGATTGCTATGTGTATCTGTAGTTTCCATTTTTTCGGTAATCTCTTCCTTCGATTTCTGTGCAGGTGTGATATGTTCGTCGCGAGGTTCGTCACTTGTATCCCGCGATGTTGTAGTTTCGCATTCAATTTCAGTTGTATCATGATTAGGTGGTGAGCTAGTGTTAATGTTTGTCTCATGCGCTGATTCATTTCTATCACTGTCATTGTTTTCAATGGAGTCAGCACCCACACTCTCGCATTGATGAGCATAATGACCTGTTTTTTTACATTTGAAGCAGCGCGACTGTGGACAATACCGTTCCGTGTGTCCGAGTTCTTGACATTTTTTGCACCTGTATTTGGTGCACTCGTAAATTAAATGATCATCGCTCAGGCATTTGTTGCACACTTTATGTTGATTACTGTGTAATAGTCTTACGTATTGACCATTTTCTTCCAATTTTACTGCGTACGGCAGCGATTTTATATGTGCAGGCATTTCAACACGAATAAAACGGGTGCCGTTTTCAATTTCAGGGGCATCTTTGTAATGTTTCCAGACCATTTTACTTCGAATAATACATCCGTATGATTCAAGCATTTTAATAATGACAAAAAGGTGACAGTTGTAAAGTTCCTCACGAGACCGTAGACATGTGCCTCTTTACTGTCGATAAACAGCCCCTGTTCAAGTAAGATCTCCACGTCATCAAAATTAGACAAGGTCACTTGCCAATATCCTTTCATTTTCACACATGCAACAAGTGAATCATTTCCAAAATTCTCTGCAGCGCCGCGATAACATCGATTGCCTTGTATTCATTGTCCGCAATACATACCGTGTGGTTTTTCAATGCAGCACGTCTGGGGTTGCTTTCAATAGGCGGCGGCCATATTGGCCCCACCCAGCTGGGCGGAGTCAACTCGCGAAGACAGCTCAGAAACGCGAATTTGTCAGCTCAAATTTAAAAATAATAGGCAAGGTTTGTCAGTTAACCAGAAATCAAGCAGATGTGAGGACTTGACAGTTCTGTGACACAGGATGCAGTGGATTCAAATCGATTTCAGGAGCACCAGTCAGGCACGTCCATCTTGGACGAGAATTGGTGTATTCTGCAATGGTTTGGCAATAGGCTAAATGTTCGTCGGATTTGGATGTCATTTAATGCTTCGGCTAGGCAAAAAATCCCAGGAAAATGTTAATATGTATGGTGGAATAAAATAGTTGATGAGCCACCTGTACGTGGTATTCCCAGCCTGTCTCCCATGCAAGTAATAACCACGCCCGATGCAGATTAACTTCAGTGATGGGACGAGAACTGGTGTATTCTGCAATGGTTTGGCAGTAGGCTGAATATTCGTCAGAATTGGATGTCGTTCAATGTTTCGGCTAGGCGAAAAATCCCGGGAAAATGTTAGTATGTACAGTGGAATAAAAATGTTGATGAGCCTACTGCACGTGGTATTCCCAGCCGGTCTGTGATGCAAGTACTAACCACGCCCGGTGCAGCTTAACTTCAGCGATCGGACGAGAACAGGTGTATTCTGCAATGGTTTGGCAATAGGCTGAATGTTCGTCGGATTTGGATGTCATTTAATGCTTCAGCTACGCAAACAATCCCAGGAAAAAGTTTCATAAGATTCATAAATCTTTGTTTGAAGGCGGTGATGTTAAATCTGTATTTACAAATTTTGAAATATGTATTCATTTTAAATTTTAGTTTGTATTTATATGTTTCCGAAAGGTTCACGTGATGTTTTGATTGTTTGAATTGACGTCGACGATATACTATATATCGTATATCGTATATCGATATAGTTTGTGTTTGGTATTGAGTTATTTGCCAAATACCATTAATATTTATACATGCTAATACAGATTCAGTTCCACATGTTCCTTGTACAGCCTCAATAACATCTAAAGCTTTAAAATTACAATCAACAATGGTTACCTTGTTGTCCTTTGTGGCAGGTGGTCGCCGAGTGCCTTGAGCACGAGGGGTGGCCATAATGGCCTAATCTCTCGTGCAGCGCTGGAAGAAAACACTGGTCACAGAAGGCCTTTCCTAAGTATCACAAAATAAAAGTGAAAAACGTCTTATGGTGGTAAAACAACACTACAAATCACTGTGATTAACACAGGATGTCTATCACGTAGCACGTTGATTAGCATATGCTGGAGCACCAGTTGAACACGTCCTACTCGGACGAGAACTGGTGTATTCTGCAATGGTTTGTCAGTAGGCTGAATATTTGTCGGAATTGGATGTCATTTAAAGCTTCGGCTAGGCAAAAAATCCCGTGAAAAAGTTAGTATGTACGGTGGAATAAAAATGTTGATGAGCCAACTGCACGTGGTATTCCCTTCCAGTCTCCCATGCAAGTACTAACCACGCCCGATGCAGCTTAATTTCAGTGATCGGACGAGAACTGTTTTTTTTTTATTAAAAGACAGACCCACTGGTCTCCCTTGTTAAAAATATATGTACAAAATTAAAAAGAATACAATACATAAACTTTCATCAAATAATATTACCATAACTCATAATACTCGTAAGTCTCATAATTGAAATAATTTCAAGCTATTGTGTAAAAGATGATCAGGCAAATTTTTATTTAGAAAGTGACAGTGAAATTATCATTTGTGTCTGTTTCCATTAAGGTTTCATATCTACATTTGAACAGTATAACTTCATTGCGGTATGCAAACATTCTGTGGTCTAGTGTCATTCTATGAATTAATTTATTTTTGAAGATATCAATAAGATATTTTGTGCTGAGAATTGTTAAATATTTGGCGTCTAATTGTAATGGTATAGCGGGTAAGAGACAAGGTAGTTTATGAGGGCAGTGTTAAACTTGTCATTAGAGGTTAATTGGCTGAATAGTATAATGGTGTCTGTATTTGAATCAACGGCGATATTGGGTATTTTTTGGAGGAGATTGAAGATATATTGCCAGAAGGGTTGTATAGTGTTGCATTTCACTAGCATATGTAGAATATCTTCATTACAATTGTTGCAAAATTGGCATAAAGGACTATCAGACAAATTCATTTTATAAAGGAAAGTATTTGTAAAAATTGAGTTGTGAATGATTTTATAGTCATTATCACCAAGTAAGTTTGGTTTGATACCCCCATATATATGAGGCCATATATTTTTGAAGTTTATATTATCGTATAGTTGGGACCAATGGGCAATGCAAGGTGGCTCAACGTCCTTTGTCATGTTAATTAGTTGAGTAAATTTTTTTGTAGTAAATTGACTTATGGGTACCTCTTGAGATTTAAAGTCAATATGGATTTCCGTTATTTCGGGGTCTTTATCTTTATTGGTACAACAATATTTCATACAATGTTTTTACCAATTGACGGGAAATGCATTAATTATGATATGGTATTGTTTTAATATTTTGTCCGGAGATTTACTTTTATTGGGAGTTGAGTCGCCTTGCACGAGTTCACAGATTGCATTTGGTTGTACAAAAAACGGGAACTACCTCGTATAATAAATCCCTCACCATAATAACTCCAGCATTAACAAAATTCTCAAAAAATAGCTGGTTATCATCATTTAAAATGAGTTTGTTGTAAAAGATTGGCTGGTAATATATGTCTATAAGAGAATGTGGGCTGGCATCTATTTGTTGGGAAATTTTATTCCAGGCGTGCAGCATTTCGGCATAAAATGGAAGTAAATTGGTGAATTTTTGTGGGTCTAATTTAATTTTAAAGAGATCGGGTCCGAGATTGAGGTTGCAGTATTTGTTTATGTTATAGGTCATTAAATATTTAAATTTATGGTTATAATCGGGTTTCAAATATTTCTTTATCCATTTTAACCGAAATGATGCACGTCTGGATTGCATGTCAGACAGATTACCCCCCCCCCCCCGAAGATATTGGACTTGTAATGACGTCATACTTGATTAAGTGTTTCCGATTATCCCAGATGAATGCAGTTATTGATTTTTTGTATTTGGAAAGGATTTCCTCAGATATTGTGGTAACGGATAAGGGATAATACAACATGGACGATACCAGAGTGTTAACAATTAAAGTTTTTCCTTTTAGGGAAAGCTTTCGTCGTTTCCAATGATTTAGTATGGTTTCGCATTATGACATTTTATTATTCCAGTTACTATTTATTAAATTAATATTCGAATGGCCCATATAAACACCTAGTATAAAAATCGTGTCTTTTTGGATTGTACAGGCAATAGGCACGTCAGTTCGACCTTTGTTTGAACCACACCAAAGAATTTCAGTTTTATTTTCATTAATTATTGCCCCTGAGATAGCCCCATAATTGTTGAATGTTTCTAATGATGCTAAAATTGATTGGTCATCGGAGAGAGTGAGTGTTGTATCATCGGCGTGTTGATACATTAATGATATTCTATCAGTACAGGGTATGAAATAATTTTCTCAATTTCTGACAACAGATTCTATGATGTCATACTTAACCCATAATCCTTTGCTTGAGAATCAAGATGGCTGACTACATTATACTGATGAAAAGAGTTGAATTTCTAGAGAATTAAAAGTGATATAAAAAAACTGTAAATTGCATTCTCCTACATTCGTGGAGCTTTTTCTGTAGGGGTCATTATGTTGTTTGCATTGATCTTCCTTTTAAAATTGAAGGGGACACCCGGCTTCGAACCAGGGTCCTCTCGATCTGCAGTCGAAAGCTCTACCACTGAGCTATAATATCCCCACATGTTTAAAATAAATATAGGAAAATAACGTCTGATACTATTTTGAAAATACGTAGAAATGTTCTTAATTGGTTAATACATAAACAAAATGAAGTGTTTTTGGCATGGAGTGAATGATATGGACACAAGAGATTGCATGTGTGCTAATGTATAACATTAAAATAGAAGGGGACACCCGGGTTCCAACCAGGGACCTCTCGATCTGCAGTCGAGCTTTACCACTGAGCTATAGCCCCACAAGTTTTGAATAAATATAGAAAAATAACTACTGATACAATTTTAATATTACATCATAATGTGCTTAAATTGTTCATACATAAACAAAATGAAGTGTTTTTGGCATAGAGTGAATGATCTGGACACAAGTGTTTTATGTTGGCTAATGTATAACATTAAAATAGAAGCGGACACCCAGGGTCGAAACAGGGACCTCTCGATCTGCAGTCGAATGCTCTACCACTGAGGTATATCCCCACACATTTAAAATAAATATAGGAAAATAACGACTGATACTATTTTGATATTACGTAGAAATGTGCTTAAATTGTTCATACATAAACAAAATGAAGTGTTGTTAGGCATAGAGTGAATGATATGGAAACAAGAGATTGCATGTGTGCTGATATATAACATTAAAATAGAAGGGGACACCCGGGTTTAAACCGAGGACCTCTCGATCTGTAGTCGAATGCTCAACCACTGAGCTATATCCCCACATGTTTAAAATAAATATAGGAAAATAACGACAGATACTATTTTGAAATTACTTAAAAATGTGCTTAAATTGTTCATACATAAACCAAATGAAGTGTTATAGACATAGAGTTAATGATATTGTAATGG